AAGAAGTGAGATGGGCACTCCTCACTGCCACATGGCCGGGGTCCCAGTAAGCTGGCAGGAACCACAGGCTGCCCCCCTGGCCCTGGGACCCATGCAGGGAGTGTTCGCACAGCTTTCTCACCACGTGAGACTGGCCTTCATCTTCAGCCAAAACAGCAGGGGCCTGTTGATTCAGCCTCAAGGTGTCCAGGACCAGCTGATAACAGAGGTAAGGGGCCTGTAGCACCCACGGAGGCTGTGATCTGGGTGGTGGCTGCAGAGGGCATCCAGCACCTGGACGTGTGGACATCAGTGGACATGGCCACCTGACAGGATGGGGCAGATGAGAAGAGCCAGGGCTGAAGCCCAGCTGGGGCAGGGCAGGGGGTAGGAACCCTAACCAGGCCCCACGGGTGCAGGCTGCACAGATGCCACACATCCCAGGAACCAGCCACCAAAATGCGAGTGTGTGTTTGTCTTGGCAAATACCCTGTGTTTCCTGTCCCCGGGTGCCAGCAGCAGGCAAAGTCAGAGGAAGGACAGCAGTGTGACTCAGTGGAGGGCCACATCAGCCACAGCCACGGGCCGGGCCTCAGAACCATTCTGGACTCATGGACTAGTACACTGCCTCACTTAACCCTTACCCTAACCTCCCTGGTAGGCATGAGCATTATTAGCCCTGTTTTACAGATGAGGACACAAGGCTCAACGAGGTCAAATGACTTGCCCACGCAGGTAGCACTAAAACTGACCTGAGCACAGGACTCTGCCCCCAGGACTCTAGGCTTCTATCTGCTACACTGCCCAAACTGCCCAAGACCCAGGAAGCCTGTCTGGACAGGCAGCTTCCCATGCTCAGCCAGTGTAAACAGCACTCAGGGTGCTGTCCAACCAGGACAGCGGAACACCAACCCCCTCCTGGGTGCTTCGCACCAAACCATTCTTTGTGGAATGACTTGAGAGTCGAAGCTGAAGTAGAGAATGGAAAGAAAAGAGATGGCCCAGGTGCAGCTGAGTCAAGGCACATGGGCCCCCAGAGGTCTAGGTCCTCAGGATGCTTAGAAGCCATGGGAGCCATGGCCAAGAAAAGTCTGATGATCACCAGGCAGCTCCACGCATAGGGAATGAACTCCAGAGCACAGTGGCTTGCAGAGGCCAGTGGGCTCCACTACATGCCCAGTGGCCTCCAAGGGTTGGAAGACTCCCGATGCTCTTGCCCTTCAGGGCAGCTCAGAGCCCTGTCCCTCCTGGCCCTGCCTAGCTCAACCAGCTTTCTCCATGGCCCTGACCCTGTGCCCAAGTCCATCCAGACTCCTCCGCCTCTTCGTGGCCCAGCTGCACTCCCCACGGGCAGCCCAGCCACAACAAGCACTGCCCAGGTGGCCAAACCCAGGACAGGACGTCACACCGGAGGGTGTCCCGCCTGCTCCTACAGTATCCAGAACCAGGCTGGCACTTAGTAAGCGCTCAGCGACATCCTCAGGTAAATAAAGCACTGAGGCTCTTTCCTCCAACTGAAAACCTCTCTGTCCACATCTTTGGCTCTCAAAGTCCTGCTGGTGCAGTAGCACCGTGGCACTTTGAACACAGCACCAGAGTTCTGTGGCCACATCCCATGCAGAGTGGCCATCTGCCCCCTCCCCTCAGAGGCCCAGGACTATTTGATGAACTGAACACAACAGGAGTGGCAGCAAGATGGATTTCCATGTGTCACCAAATTCCTTAATATTCCTCCCTTAGGTGGAGCCTGTCTTCCTACTCCTGAGTACAGGCTGAACTTGGTGGCTTGCTTCAAGTCACTAAAGCAGAAGTGACAGTTTGACGGGGGGGGGACTAAGTCCTCAAAGAGCCCTTTGGCTTCTGTCTTTTTTGATTCCTCTCTGATGGGTTGCTGTGTAGAGATCCACTGCCGTGCTTGAGGGGACCAGCCAAGGGCAAGGCACTGAGGCCCCATCAGCAGCCACAGGTGACCTTGGAAGCAGTTCTCAGAACAGCCACGCCTCAGAAAGGCTGCACCCAGACCAGTTCCCCATGGCTCCCTCACACGCCCTGAGCCAGCTGAGCTGCTCGAAGGGCTGTGAAGAGACATAGCTCCTCGTTTTGTGCTGTGCAGTTTAGGAGTAATTTATCACACCTTGAAAGAGAAGCAGGGCAGCTTTTTAGACCAAGCTTTAAGAAATAAGCAATGCCTGCTGCCTGTGCCTTGGGATGCTCCCTCCTGGCACCAGCAGCCAGGGTGTAAGGAAGCCAAGCCGGCCATGGTGGGACCGTAGCGCGCAGCCCACCAACCCACGTGCCTGCACAGCCTTGGAAGTGGTGTCGCCAGCCCCAGGTCAGAGCCTCAGCTTCCCCAGGGCAAGCCCAGCCCAAGTCACCAATACTCAGGTTACATAAATGACTGTGACATGTTAAGTCCCTAGACCCTGGGGTGGTGCGTTATGTGGCAGCAGATACAGAAGACACTGGGCATCTGGCTGCAGGTGCCACCATAACAAAACCCCAAGCTCGAGACACTGGCCTTGGTGCCAGGCAATACTTGGGAGCGTAACAGGGCCCAGTGACACAGGAGGCCCTTGGTTTGGACAGAGCTCCTGCACGAGGCCCAAGAGATCAGCCAAAATGGGGTGGCTTGCACTGAAGGCCACCACATCACACGGCAACTACCCTGACCATCCGAGAAGTCGGGAGAGGGAACGGCCAAATCCCCAGACGACTCAGTCCTAGCCAGCACGGTGGGACAGTCACTGGGTGGAACTTGTCAGGAGAGATTGCTCCAAGGACCACCCCTTTGGGCTGTCCACTTCTGCTTTCTCAGCCCTTCTCCCCATGAGACCAAACCTCCGCCTGGTTCACTGCAGCGTTTGCTCGTTTTTATACAATGAAGTGTGGTCTGATTCCAGAAGTGCAAATAAAATCCAATTATCTTTAAGCTAAATTTGTTGCGAGGTTGCCTCTCAAGGAAACTAAAAGGAAAGTATCATGCAGAGCCAGAGGGAAGGGGACTCGTATCCTGGTGGCAAAAAGTCCCCCAGTTATCCTGTGCGGTGATGTAGGAAAGGGCTCCTGATAAATTTAATCACACTGCCAAGGACGTTTCAAGGCAGGTTACAGAAGTGTCCACCAGCTTCGTGTCACTGCCTGTGACAAAATGCCAGGGAGAGATGATAAAGAAATGTTAGATCCAAAATGATCCAGGACTCACCAGGTTTGAAGATAGAACTATTTCTACTCTCAGCCTCTGCAGATAGTGAATGATTCTCAAATTAAGGAAGGGCCTCAGGCCCTGGATCAGACCCAGGATGGGTCTCCGCATCTGAGACAGCAAATCACAGAAAGTTCCAGACAGTCCAAAGGCCCAGCACACTAAGGAAGGGCCTCTAAGAATCTCGGGGGCACTGTCCCTCAGCACTCCCCTGGAAAGCCCAGCTAGAGGAGGGCTTCTCGGCAGAGGTATGTCCCAGTGGCCATGGTCCAGTGGACAGAGAACCTGCCACCCCAAAGGTTCTGAAACAGGAAAAAACAGAAATGGAATGGTGCAGAAGGTGAAGAGGGCTGAGCTCCCGGCCACCAGTACAGCCCCAGGACAGCCGCAGAGAGGCCCGTCCTGCCAGGAGCCCCAAAGGTAAATGGGAAGCAGAGGTCAGTCAGTCCGTCCTTCATCCTGTTGGGCCTCACCCATTTTCTCAGCTGGCCCAGGAGCTGAAACAGAAAACCCAGAGCCGCCTGCAACATGCCATCTGAGACTCTTCCCCAGATTCTGAAAAGAGCTTCCAGGCTGGAGTGAGGGCTCCTCTCCTAGGTCTGCAGGGAAGCCATCCACCTGTGCTCCTGCAGAGACACATTGACTAAGACAGAACAAGGCCCTGACTCGGAAGTGAGGCTGTGTTCAATCACAGCAAATGGGGCCATAATTCCAAGTAAATGGCATGAGAGGCTGAGCCAAGCCTCACACCCGCAGCCATGTTTCGTGGTTGTAAATTACTCATGTGGATGCACCAGGGACCAAGCTGCTCGTTAGCCGCCAACATTAGCTGCTTAATGATCCAAGGAGCAGAAGCTGCCAATCACTGCTTCCTTCTTAGAACACCATCTAAAACCCACACATGCAATTATTACACCTCTACTAAATGTTTATGATTTCTCTGAAGCTCTGGGCTGTGGACCCTTTCAACCTATAAATTCAGAGAAATCCAGGCTGCCACACTCCCTGGGTCACACATCCATGGATCACATCCTGAGGCATCTGGACTCTAGCCCCTGATCTGCCAGCACTCAGCTGCCCCAGTGAATGTAACCAAAGGCCACACCCCACACCTTGATCTCCCCACCAGGCTGTTGGTAATAGCCTCTCTCCCACTTAATAATTCAGTTGCCACAGAAATCACATAAAATGACAAATCGGAATGTTTGAAAGCTCTATTCAAATGACAGAATAAGGCACTGTTTTCAGAAACGTGTGTTTTCAAGCTATGATTTAAATACACCCCTTAGTATCTGCCAGAGGGAGGAGAAACGACCATCTCCTGAGAAGTCTCTGGCTCCACTACTGGACCTCACACAGGCCCGTCGGCTGGTCTCGTGTTGCCCTTCCCTTAAGAGAGGCCAGGAAATGGGAGTTCATAACCCACTTGAATCAAATGTTTGAAATACGATATGTCAAGAGCTTTGTAATGTTTTGAACAACCAATAATAAAAATTTAAAAAAGAGAGAGAGAGAGAGAAGCCTGGGCCCTCCGGCAGCCCGGGAGGAGGTCTCACCTCACAGGGCTGTACAGAGCAGTACCTCCACCCCCCCAGTCTGTTGGAGGAGCAGGAACCAAGACCACGTGGTCACTGCACAGACAGGCATGCGAAAGGTACTTTCCAGGTTCATCCCATCCCCCCATGAGGAAACCTTACTGCCCCCCCCCCCCCAGAACATCTTCCGGGTGCCTAGTGTAAGGACCCTAACAGCAGAATATTAAACTGAAGGCAAAGCACCCAAACACAAGGGGGCGCTGTCCTGAGCAGCGGGCAGTCACCTGATATGGCAAGTGCTTTGGCTTCATGCAGGGCCGGCAGTCGGGTCTCCAGGTGGCTGACTCTCCTCCTCAGCCTGCTGCAGAGGCTCCCGCTTGTGCACACCTGGAAGGGGAGAGACAGCAGAATGGTGCATGCTCGAAGACCAGAGACGGTGGCAGAGCCCACTCACTCCTAGCAGCTGGGCTTGTGGAGATAGTTAAGAGCGATGGCAGGAGACCTCCCAGCAAGACATCACAGGCAGAGGGAAACAGAGAAGAGGGGGAAGGAGGGGTGGCCAACATGGCACATGCCAAGCAGACCCCAGACCCTTCACCGCACTCAAGTGGACCAACTTGCCCACGCGCAATGGGAAGGAGCCGCCTCTGCCCTCCCGGGGCTCCCTCCCCACCCCTTGTCTGAAACACGCCTGCCCAGTGGCTAGCACACCAGCACCCCTCAGGGCCATCTGCCCACTTCCTGGGAAGAGAGGCCTCACTGATTACAAGCCCAAAATAGCAGACCCTCCTGCCCCCTTCGCCCCCTTGTGCCCTAGCCTCTTCTCCAGGGGACGCACCCTTCATTTCCATTCCTTATTTTACCCTGTCTCTCTCCTCCAGGGCTCAAGCACTCTGGGCTTCGGTCCCTGGCACGTAGTAGGCAATAGATTAAGATATGGCCTTTGAGATCAAGGTCAGAGCGGCAAGCTAAATTTAATTACTAGTAGACGGTCTCTAGGGAAACTCCAGGGCAGATCCTTGCTGGCAAGTCAGATTTGAAAAATAGACCAGCCGCTCTCAGGAGGTCTGCTGCTTTTATCATTTATCTTCCCCCTCCAAACACTTCCTACGGTTTTCTTTTCATCTCAAAAAAAAAAAAAAGTCTTAAACCTCAATCTCTTTTTTCAAATGCCTCTGGGTTATCTTTTAGTAATGATTTGAGGCTAAAATATCACAATTTTTTCCCTTTGTCTAAGGCTAAAATCTCATATTCATCCGTTATCTATATGCGGATTAATGAGCTACTTAGAACTATTTCCTCTTCGACACAAGCACACAGCATAGTGTTAGTAAGAATGAAGAGAACTGCGGAGCTGTCTGGATGGGCCATGGAGGGGGTCACCTGAACCATTACTCTTTTCTTGCCAAAAAATCTGAGCCTCCATTCAAAGATAAAATCAGCCTACCCAGGTTCACAGAGCCCTAAGGATAAATTTAATTTCCACAGAGCAATTGAGGACACATGGGTACCATCAGCTCAAGTGCTTTGCCCATGTCAGATGGAAGAGAGGTGGGTTTTAGGACCTACAAGACCTCGCCCAGGTTCCTACAGCCATCCATGGACTGCATGGACTCAGGGGCCCCGGCCTGCTGGGCAGCTGAACACACTTGCTGGATGAAGACATGGTTGGCAGCCTGCACACCAGAGCCCCCGCCAGCAGTGCCCTGCATCCACACGTCACAGCGATCCATCTCCAGACCCTCTCAATGACTCAGGGTTTGTCAGGGTGTCAGAACCAGGAGCTGAAAGGAAGCTGTCCCCAACACCTTCTCCAGCTCTAAGTTTGGGTTGGCTCCGTGACCGGTGACTGGCCCATCCCATCCCATCCATCCATCTAAAACTGTCAATGGAAATCCAAAAGCATTTCTGTTAATTCTACGACATGAGCCAGAATTCTAGATCTCATTCAATCTGTGTCTAACAGTTCCGGTTTTAGTTAATGGTACCTGTTAATCATAATCGGGTCAATTTCTCCTTTGTTGAGCAAAGCCATCCTTCAAGCTGTCACTATCAACATGAAACACCCTTTCTACACTTTCTTATAAGGTTGCAATGTACATTCCTTCGGGCTCTGCTGGATGTAATCTAATATCCACCAATCTCCAGGTATTCCACTTATTTCCAACTATTTCTTTCATCTTATTTATCCCTTAATTACCTTTGGTTTGGGTAACCCCTGAGAGTTGAAGGAACATGGTGTGGGCAAGAAATTCTCTCCCTGAGAACACAAAGGGCTGTGTGTGCCTGGCAAGCTGAGACTTGTACCTCATGCCACCAGCCAACCTGGTCTAGAGTGGAAAGACAGTGTTCTGCATGGCCAGAGAGGTTGGCTGTATTCACTGTGGGCTCACAAGTGCTCTCCAACACACACACCATGGATGTGTACAAACACAGGCCCCCACACACATGCGTGCACACAAACCCAGAAAATCTGCACCACCTTCTTACAAATAAAATTAGACCCTGAGGAACTCATTATTAAATGGAGATTTTTATGTTTGCATTTTAAAATCTGAGGCATGATTTCCTTAATTTTATGGAAAAGTATTCAAGTTGTTATAAATATACCAGAGATGGGTGTGTGACAGCTGCAGTGCCTGTGTCCCCAGATGCACACATTGAAACCCTAACCCCTGTGAGCTGGCACCAAGAGCTGAGGCTGTGGGAGGTGGCACAAGAGTGAGGCCTCATGGAAGGGATCAGTGCCCTAAGAAAGGGACCCCAGACGGCACTCCTGCCCTCTCTCCACCAGGTGCACACTGGGAGAAGCCGGCCATCTGTGACCACGGGCCCTCCCCAGAGCCTGACTGTGTTGGTACCTGGGCCTCAGACTTCCGGCCTCCAGTGCTTTGAGAAGAGAATTCCTGTTGTCCAGAGCCACCGAGCTGTGGTGCTTGGTTAAGCAGCACAGACAGACCAGGATGGCATGCAGACAAAGCAACCCAGGTCCTGGGAGAATCCAAGGTTCAGCAGCAGCCGGGGATAATCGTGGGGCTGCCTCCTGCTCCTCTCTCTGAAGGAGCACCCCCAGGAGGTGCTCAGGAACACCAAGCAGGTTTCAAGCGTCCCTCGGTCCCTGGGCCTGTTGCCCTCTTATGGACACCACGGCTCCTCAGAGAAGCTCTCCTTCTATGCAAGTACCACCCTTCAAACATACTGCCGAGTGTCCATTAGAACATCACTAGTGCTGTTTTTAGAAATGAGTGAGACCCAAAACCTGAGAAAAGAGCCATAGTCACTGTTACATGCTTGCCAACAACACATCCCAACGTGGATTAGCTGCGGTGACCACCAGGCCCTTAGCACTCCTCCTCCTCCAGGGCCCGAGACTCTCCTTCTCTGGATGAGCACTGCTCTTTCATGACCCGAACACCTTAGGACCTCCCAGGCTCCCAGACCTGAGGCCAGGGAGGAGGGGTTGTTCCCAGGCTCTCTGCCACAGCATCTGGCAGAGAACCTGTTAAGCAGAGGCACTTGATGTGCACAGGAGCCCCTGTCCCCGTCCCTGAGCCGAGAGCCCTTCCAAAAGCCAGGGCCCTGTGGATGGCCACAGATCAGGACCCACCAGGATGGCAGCCCTCCCTGGCTCTCTGGGCTCCTCTCCTCTCTTCCTGAGCCTACATGGTCTGTGACGTAGATAGAAAGTCAGAGAAAACCTCTGCGGTGCTTACCTCAGTGGTGACTTCTTTAAGTGACAGGTTGAGGGATTTTATCCTCTCCTGGAGGCTGGAAGAATCAAAAACAGGACATTGGTCTTACTGGAACCACAGATGGACACCCCCACATCAGGAACACTGAAAAGAGTGAGTGCTCACCACCTGGGGCCAGAGAGGAGCAGCGGCAAGAAGATGCCAGACTGACCCCCTGGGGCATGGTGCTGATGTGACGCTTGGGAGCAGAGCTCACCTCCTACTGACGCTTTACTTGGCCAGTACTACACCCGCCAACATCCCCAGGGCACGTCTGATGGCACAGGACCGAGACCCATGGGCTCCCAGCAGCAAAGCACTCAGACTTCCTCCCTGTGACCAGCTCCCACTTGTGGGAATCAATCTTCACGTGGGTGCCATGGGCTCAGCGCACGTGCGCGGGTCCCTGCATCAGGGCGGCCTGTTGGAGATGCGCAAGGAAAGCATGTCTGACTCCGTGCCAGCTCCTGGCTCCACCCTCCTCTCTCTCCCGTGCACTCCTCACCCCCACAGAGTGCACCTCAGTGAGTCCACGAGTCCACGTATCGGTGTGCTGCCTGCCTCCAGTTTCCCCAGGGCCCAGGGCAGTCCTGGGGTGGATTAGAAGGCTCAAAGTACACGGCACGAGTAAATGGACACCAAAGACCCGGATCTTGTCCTCAAGGCTGCTTCCCGGTGGAGAAGGCACATGCAGACCACCAACCACAGCACAGAGTAAGATGAGGAGGACCACAAGGTGACATAGGAGGGACCCGCTAAACCAAAGCTGCCACAAGGCAGAACCTGGGGGCAGTTCAGAAACCAGGGAGCATTGGAAGCCACCAGGAGAGGTAGGAAATGAGCCCGGCCTCAGAGCAGCAGGGAGGGCCACAGTGTGGGAGCAGGCGGAGCTTTCCAAGTGGCCCCATGACCAGCTGCACCAGACACAGGCCAACAGGAAGGAAGGGGCGGGGGGGGGGGGGGGGTGAGGGGACCAGAGTGAACAGGGGATGGCAACGCCGTCTAATCTCAGTGGGGACAAATAGGCAGCTGGCATGCCGTCCAGGCTGTGTGACTGCTATGAGGGAGGTGACCCCTGAAGGATCGCCAAGCTCTGGTTGGCCTTCAGCAGTCGGCTGAGGAGCTAGAGCTTCCCCAGGCACCAGGATCATTCTGGTATCATTTTGGTTTGGGTCGTGAGAGCAACAGGGAAGGGATATTTTTGGTTTGGGGAAAATTAATTGGGCAAAGTGATGAAAAAAGACTTTGAAGAATAAAATCAGTGTGAAAACCAGGCGTTCCCTCCAGCTAGGCCAGCCGAGGAGTCTGAGCCTGCAGAGTGGAGGTCGGAAAGGAAGGGGAGAGTCAGACCACAGGGCATGGCGAGGTGAAGAGCGTTAAGGAGCCCTTCTCCTTGATGCACTCAGGAACCCACTCATCTTCCAGTGCTCAGCACAAACCCGTGGCCCCTGCTGTCCACCACCTGCAACTGCTAAGAGTGCAAGACAACGTCGTGGTACAGAAAGAGGATGGCCCTTGATAAATGGGGGTCTGCCGAAGGCAACGGCCAGGATACAGGTACCCAGGAGGGACACTTGGAGCACCTCACCAAGCAGGAGTGGCGAGGTCTGGATAGGAGCCGAGCGGCTGGTTTGCCAGGCTTGCTGCCCTTCTCCACCTGTTGCGAGCACACGCAGACTCATTTCAGGTGCCAGTCCCCAGAGCCGGAGCAGGCACAGCCGTCACCAACCTGAGGCCTGCTCTCACCTGTGGAGGGTCTTCCACCCAGCTGAAGTCAACCCACATGAGGTGGTGAGGGTGACAAGAGGCAGAGCACGTGGCACCAGAGACCTCTGATTCGGGTCACAGTGAGGGTGACAGTAGGCACAGTGAGAAACAAGTCGGCTCCTGCCTGGAGAACACCCTGCGCTGCCTGGCTGCAGCCCGGATTTCTGAGAGAAGGTAAGTCTGAGGGTCCCGCTAGCACACAGAGCAGGCAGGTCCAGCCACAGAGGCTCCAGGGACAGAAGGGCAGAGCTCTTCAGCCAGGGCCTAGACTGTTCTGCCTCTGACCCCAGCAGCAGCAGCACCAGCTCCAGGTAGTTCTGTCCCTCTCCAGGCCCAGGGAGTCCATTCAACTCACAGGCAGTTAATAAAGAGTTCCCACAACCTGGACCTGCACCTGCATCCAACAGCACAGTGTGAGCACAGGCTCCTAGACACACCCAAAGTCGAGCTCATACATTGACAGCTGAGTAGAAAGGAGGCTGCTTTTGGATACTGAAACTTAGCTGGCCCAAGTGCCAGCGCCTTGGGCTGACGTCTAACATACCAAACTGAAAACCAGCCAAGCTCCACCTTTCCAGAGGTTGATGTGGTTCACAGGCCTGGACAGATCTGGCCCTGCTCTGGAAAGAACACTGATCTCCTGTCAAACATCCATGATGGACCAAGAGGCAGTGAGGCAGATAATTGGATGCATTGTTTTATATTTGATTTGATTTACATTTAATTTATTTAATTTATGCTATATTACTTTTTCAGTAGATTTACCTTCCTAATTATGTTTTGCTCAGACTAATATTAACATAGTTGCATCCCTGGGGTACACACGGAATGAGAGCAGTGGGGGGTGAAGAATATGAATCATCATCACCAGGCTGGGGTTTTCGAGCTATTTTTAGAGTGGTGCCTCTCAAAGTGCTGCACAGAACTGACATATCATGTGGGTTCCAGGGCTCTGTCCCCAGCGCAGGGACACTACGCCCACTGGGCACTGCTGCCATCATACTAAGGTCCCTGAAACACAGCTCCAGAAGCAGGTTTTGAACAGGAAACCATCAGAGTTAAATGCCCCGTGGGCTTCAATCATCAAATGGAGTCCCCGTGTTTCAAGAGCACTCCAGGTTGTTTGTGACGACGGTGAACTCTGCTCTCAGATCCAGTCATGCCGTGCCCCAGAAACACCTGCGGTCCACTCAGACACTGGACATGTTTCCACTAACATCTGGGTCACTCTATGGTAGTGAGTGTCCTCCCTTAGAGCAGCCGCCTGGGAGCAGCAGAGGCTAGTATTCCCGGGGGCTGCTGTGTGTGGGCACCACTCCCCGTCCTCCACACAGACGAGTGGATCTGGACTTCCTATAGCTCTGAGATGCAGGCGCCATGATTATCACACTTCCTGGCAAAAAAAACTCAGAGAGACTCAAGCAACCTGCCAGGGCCAGCCAGCTGAAGAGCCAGGGCTAGGGTTCTGGATCCTCCTGTGGGACAGTGGACAACACTAGACCACGTCCAAGGCCATCCTCACATCCAGGGGCTCTGGGTCCTCCTCTAGGACAGTGTACAGCACTAGTCCATCTCCAAGGCCATCCTCACATTCAGGGGTTCTAGGTCCTCCTGTGGGACAGTGGACAGCACAGACCATGTCCAAGGTTATCCTCACATCCAGGGGTTCTGGGTCCTCCTGTGGGACAGTGCATAGCACTAGACCATGTCCAAGGCCATCCTCACATCCAGAGGCTCTGGGTCCTTCTGTAGGACAGAACTAGACCATGTCCAAGGCCATCCTCACATCCAGGGGTTCTGGGTCCTCCTGTGGGACAGTAGACAGCACTAGTCCATCTCCAAGGCCATCCTCACATCCAGGAGTTCTAGGTCCTCCTGTGGGACAGTGGACAGCACTAGACCACGTCCAAGGCCATCCTCACATCCAGGGGCTCTGGGTCCTCCTGTGGGACAGTGGACAGCACAGACCATGTCCAAGGCCATCCTCACATCCAGGGGTTCTGGGTCCTCCGAAGGACAGTAGACAGCACTAGTCCATCTCCAAGGCCATCCTCACATCCAGAGGCTCTGGGTCCTCCTGTAGGACAGAACTAGACCATGGTCAAGGCCATCCTCATATCCCACAGTTTTGGGTTGTCCCCAGATTACTCTGGACACTGCTCACCATGTTCAAGGTCATCTTCATGTCCAATTTCCCTAATAGCATCATATAGTAGAAGTCACAGACTTCAAAGAATTTGTCCACGCCATGGTCACACATCTGAGCCCTCCCTGGATCTCACCTGGTGTCACATCAGGCTGGAGGACATAAGCCGGTGTACTACCTATAAAGTGTACAGTGCAGGTCTCCAGCCCAGATCCACCTCCGACCACACTCTCCATTTCCAGGTTTCAGACCCTACCCAGCATTAGCAAGGAAAGCCCTTGAATGGGCTCTTGCCCTGAGTCGGACTCACAGGCAATGCAGAGGTTCACAGGAGGGTCTCTGAGGAGTGCACTGCCAGGAACATCCACTGGTAAGGCCAGAGCAGCCTGCGTGTTTCCAGGGTGCTGCCAAGAGGGTCATGGAGGTGCAGACAGACAGGAGGACGGGTTTCAATGGGCCAGATCCAGCCTCAGCCTGAACCTACGCCCCTCCCCGAGGAAGGAGCAAGGCCGTGGATTTGCACAGGGAACTACCAGGGCTGGGAGGGGAATGGAATGTCCTGGGCAGATCCTAGGCTTGCTGCTGGAGTCTTTGGGAGCAGTGACCCCCATGTGACAGAGCCATTACTTGCTGAACATGGAGCCATGGGCCAAGGGCCAGGCTGAAGCTTCAGGAGACTGACCTTCCTGTACAGAAAACAGCAGCTGGAAGCAGGAGAGAGCTGAGAGGCTCCACCTGTTACTCATTCTCCTGGGTCCCGGCACCAGCTCCTGAGCCAGGGGTCACTGTCGTCATCCTCCCCCAATCAGTGGGTGGGGGAGAGGGAGGGAGAGGGAGAGAGAGGGAGAGGGACAGGGAAGGTGCAGAGGTCAGAAGTCCTGCCTCGGCGAGGTGTGGAGCCCCACTGTATCTGCCTGCACGGTGCCCACAGGGCTGCCACATCACTACCCACCTCAAGCCCTGGGCACCACCCGTTTCCCTGTCCCTCGTATCTCAGCGTGTCTTCTGTCTGTCCAAACTAAGATGATGAGCTCCTGAGCACCAGGGGCCGTGTGTCCTGGGAACCCTCCACAGTGCAGAGCACAGGACGCCATCCATGGTAGACAGACAGGCGAGCTGCAGGACAAGGACAGACGCCAGGCAGCAGTTTCCCTCTACTTATCGAGACCTCAGGGAAATTACTAACCGGCTCGCACTTTCCCTTGGCCATGGAATGGGCACGGAGATGGAGCCATTCAGAGAGCAAAGCTCGATACACTGTGTGGTATGGACAGGCTCCCCAAATCCCGGCTGCCAGCACGTCCCCTCTTCCCAGTGGAAGTACCTAGACTGGGTTGCCCTCTCTGTGGTGCCTGTCCCTTGGTGAGCAGCCACCTTCTCCTGATGTCGGTCCTCAGCAAAGCTGGCATCAGAATCTCTAGCCAGCCGTGCCCAGCAGTCCTCAGAGCGAGAAGCTGCTCTGGGGATGTCTGGAAGCTGCCCGTGGGATAAGCTGCCAGGCAGAGCTCAGGACGGCCCCACACGTGAAGAACCTTCCCACCGAGACTCTGATAGTGCTTCCGTCAAAGCATACGGAGAACTTAGGGGACAGCTGCAGCCCAGGGCGGCCAGCAAGCTCCTCCCTCACCCAGCCCCACGGGGCACGGCCCACAGTCCCCAAGCAAGATACCTTGTTATGTCTTCCGGTGGCTCCGCCTGGAAGTGCAGCTGACCAGCTGCGGCCAGCATGTCCTTCAGGGCCTTGCCGAGTGCCTGCAGCTGGCCCAGGGGCAGCCGGGCCATGGGCTCCGTCACACCACAGCCCTGCCCCCGGAGCAGCTGCTCCTGCTCCTCCAGCTCCCGCCCCAGCCGCTGGTCCTCGGCCTCCAGCACAGACAGCCTCGTTTGAAGAGCTTCCATTTCTTTCTGCAGAGAACCCGGAGGACAGAGTTGGTGAACTGACCCCACCCCAGGCAAAGGGACGCTGACGGTGACAGGTGTAGGTGAGGGCAGGCGCAGGCACCGGAGCCACGGTCGGCCCTCGGAGCCTGCAGGCTCAGAGCTGGCTGACCTCGGAGAATCGCAGCGGCCTTCCATTTCTGGAGGGTTGACAGAGCACCAAATAACGAGGGGGGCAGGCCCCGGATCGGAATGGAAGGGCAGCACATAACAACGGGCTGACTTCACACCAGATGGACAGACAGCAAGGACACGGCAGCAAGCTTCCCACAGAGACCTGAGCCACAGGCCAGGACAGGGAAGGCCGCTCTGTCCCCAGACACAAGAGCTTACAGAGGAAAATGTAAACCTGGCTCTTGGGTCTGCAGGTTGAGAGGCACCGAGATGCTGCAGAGGGGGGTGCCTGGCCCCTGAAGCAAACCCAGGAAGCAAACCCAGGTCCACACGGCCCATAACTGTCACCTGAGCTCGCGGTCAATGAATAAAACAGCAGCAGGTGACGGAGCACCAGTGTGGGCACCGTGTCACGGCCAGAAACCGCCTCGGGCTCCTGAATTAAATCAGAGTCTCAGGGTGCGAGCCCCATGTTCCAGGCACTACTCCCGGCCGAGGAGGACACAGCCTCACCCCAGAGTCTCCATCCCTGGCGCATGTTCTTTCCTCCCCCGGGCCACAGGCTCTCTAGTGCTTCTGCCTCCTGAACCACCTCCTGCCCAGGAGCAATGAGAGAAATGTCAAGGGAAACAGCACCCCAAGTCTCTGCACAGTCCACAGGGCCCCTCGACCAGCCTCTGGCTCCTCTCGACACCAGCCACATTCCTCACCTTCTTGTCTCTCTCTCTCTTTTTTTTTTTTTTAACTGTGGTAAAATACAACACAGGATCTGGCACCTCAGCCAGCTCTAAGTGCAGAGCTCAGTGGTGAGGTACACACCCAGTGTCCCCCGTCTCCTCCACCACCCATCCCAGAACCCTTCATCTCCTCTAACTGGAACTCTGTTTGCCCCATAAACACCAACTCCCCCGCCCCTGGCACCAAGCACCCAGCACTTGCTGTCTATGCACCCAGCTCCTCTAGGAACCTCAATAAAGTAGGATCACGCAGTCTTTGTTCTGATGCGACTGCTGATCTCACTCCCCCACGCTCATCCACATTGTAGCAGGTGTCAGGACTTCCTTCCCTTTTAAAGCCTGCATAATACTCCCTCAAATGTCCACACCGCATTTTGTTCATCCATTCACTTCTTGCAGAACCCGAGGGTTGCTGTCACTTTGGCCCATTGTGAACAATGTCCCCATGAACGTGGGGTCCAGAAACTTCTTCCAGTCCGTGCTGTCAGTTTTTGAGAAACATGCCCAGAGTCAGACTGCTGGGTCATGCAGAGGTTCTATTTTTTTTATCTGGAGGAAACTGCATGCTATTTTCCACAGGAGACCTCTATCCCAATCCCAAGATGGAAGCCACCATGATTCTTTAATGTGTGGTCAGACCTGGTCGTTTCACTGCCTAAACACCCCAGGGGTCCCCACCGCAGTCAGCGGAAAGCCCAGGCCCTGAAGAGGCCCTGGCCCTCAGCCCAGCACCCCTGCTCCAGCTGCTCAGCCCCTCCCCAAAGTTTCTGCTCCAGCCTCACTCCTCAACCCACCACCCTGGGCTGCACCCAAACACACCAGTCACCCATTTAGGTTCTTGGCACAGTGCTAGCCCCCAGTGGTCCCGAGCACAGAGGGCCTCCTGCACGTGGTGGGCACTCAGGAAGGCTGTGGAGTGTGGGCCTCCGCCATTCCCTGAGCGTTGCCCACACTGTGCTCTGGCATCACCGTGCCTCCAGCACGAAGCCCCTGGGCTAACATTGTTTTTCTGTCGACTTGGACATTCTCAGCGACTGTGCAGACCCCTGACTGGTGACCATAATGAAGCATGAGAGCTGGATCTCACGTCTCCTCGCACCTGCCTCCCCGCAAGCCCTCCAGTCACTCCCACCCCTTTCCTTTCCAATCAAGCAAAGCTGAGACCCCCTTGCGCAGTGGACTTCCGTGGACAAGGAAACACCTGGCCTGTCTAGGGCTCTTCACTGGCTCACCTGCAGCTGCTGCCGCTCCCCAAGCAGCCAGTCCCGCCGCGCGGCAGTCACACGCAGGCCGTCCTGGGCTGTGGGCTCCCGGGGCCACGGCTCTCCTCCAGGTGGGGCTTGGGTGTCCTCGCTGCAGGCCCTAAAGGAACACACACATATTGGCACAGGGGTGCAGAAGTGGATGTCCCCAGGACCACAGGTTTTTTAAGAGCAAGAAGCTTCACAGAGCAGCCCAGCTGCTCTGACCCCTGAGGGAGCCCCCGGTGCGTTTCTGTTAATCACGCCGTCGAGGCTCTAGCTTTTTTTCCAGGCGGATTCCACCCATCGGACCTGCTCTCTGCCAGACAGCAACCCCCCAGCCACATGTGGCTACCAAGCACCTGGCACATGATTAGCCCAAACTAAGCTGTAGTGGGAGTGTAAAATGCACATCCGATTTTAAAGACTGCGTGTGAAAACAGTGTGCGGTAACTCACTAGGGAGGCCTCACGCCCAGCACACATTCCCACGGACAGTTGGACATATTGGAAAGTCGGTTTCACCTGCCTTTTACTTTTGTTTACTGTCACTTCTAGACCTGTTAAGGTCACGAGCAAGATGCCCATTCTGTTCCACTGGACCTCACTGACTTGCACCGAAAACAGCAAACGCCAGGCAGAAGAGACCCGAAACAGTTTGGGGTGACGAGAGAGGCTTGGGGCCGGGCTCTGCAGAGCAGTTTGCCGAAAGGCTCCTCAAAGCCCCTTAGAACCCTGGGGACACCCCGGCTCTTGCGGGAGCCAGCACCCTCCTCCAAGCCCCCCCACGCATCGGCCGCAAAGTTGGCTCCACAGCCTTACAGCACTCAATTTCTACCTCGATGCAGGAACAACTTAGAGCAGAACCCTGTCCAAAGTGCAAGGATCCCGTCTGAGGGACATGTCAACCAGACTCCAAGGCAGTGGCCGTGGGGAAGGCAGAGCCAGGAGGGTGCGGAACGCGAGATCCGGCTCCTTCAGAAAGCTCTATCGATGGAGAGAGAGACACAAGACCCACCAGGCATCACAGAGAGGGAATTACACAGGGTCAAAGACGCAGCTGTCACCAACGATGGTCTAAATGCAAACCCAAGCAGCAACAAATGCCACTGCCCACAGACCAACAGTCACAGGTCCCTGTAAGCCGAGTCCCTGGTGAGAGCAGAGCGTGGGATTGGAACGCAGCAGGACTGGATTCTACACTCCACCTCTCAGAACCTAGCCTACGTGAACCGCATGGCTGTGCACAGAGTGCTACAGAGACATCACAGGATTCCTAGTGGCCTTGCTCTGAGGGCCCAATCACACAGTCACCTGAGGGCCAGAGTGGTGAACCCCGACCTAAGGAGGTCAGCCAGCAAACCTGGGCCCCCAGGGGCCAGCAGCCGCTAAACTAGGTCAGGAAACGAGGCAGCACGGTGGAGAATGCCCCTGCCCACTGCCTTCTCATGAGGGCAGATTTTACGGCAATACGCACAATGTGAACCAACTGTTTACAACAACATGCGCCTGAAATAGGAAAACACAGACTGGCTACCAGCTCTCCTCTCAGGCCAGTCTTGTCTAGGGCTGCGAGGGTGAGCACCCACTGTTTTCTAACAAAAGTAAAACACGTTTTCCACTTGTTTCCACACAAGCTAAGCAGCTACACTTTGACCTGAACATGCCCCCCACCAACCTGCCCACAGTTCCAAACAAATCCCACCAATACCTCGACTACAAGGGCACGTCCCCTGCAGGGATCCACACCTCAGACAGCCTGAAGCATAAACTCAAACCCCGCACACTATGCCTGCCTGTCTTCCTCCTTCCCGGCTCGTCAGGGGGAGCCTGAAGCTGCAGGTGCTTGCCCGTGCATGACCACAGGCCCTCTGCCCCTCCACAGATTCACGCAGGACCGCACCCCACAGTCCTATAGAGGAAATGCTTAGGGAGCTCTCACTGAGCTGGCCCTGAGGAGGTGTTGGGGCCTGTGAGAGGGTGAGTGCTGCTCTCTGGGGAGTGGGCTCCTGCCCTGAGGAAAGGGATGGTGACTAAGAGTGAGCTGTCGGAAGCCAGCTGGCTCCCTGCTCACTGTCCTCTGCACATTCTCTCTCCCCTTCTGCTTCCTGCCATGTCATGATGCAGCCAGGGGCCCTCACCCCCAGTCAGTGCTATGCTGTTTGGGTCCTCCAGCTGCCAGAATCATAAGCCAAAAGAGCCTGTTTTCTTTACACATCACCCAGCGTCGGGTATTGTGTTACAGTAACAGAAGGTTCAAGACAGTGAGTAACAAGCCTCAGAAGTGTTGTGCTTCTGTCCCCTTCCATTCCCATCCCATCCTAGGTACACCTTCAGGAGAGTATTACTGAGCCCACCTACCAAGTGCTAGGGGTTGTGCTTGCTGCTGAGGACACCATGGTAAACAGACTCCATCCTTCTGTGGAGCAGGAGCAAATCTATCAACAGACACATCACCCTGCAATGGAGACACGCTCCACCCAGGGAGCTCGCCCCGGACCCAGCGCCAAGGCGGGACATCCTGGCTTCAGACCTCAGCTGAGCCCACCATCGACGTGCTCAAGAGAAGACGAGGAGCATGTCAGCGCAGCTCCCCAGGGGGCCTCAGCCCTGTGGAGAGGAGAGCATGCCTCCATTCCAGGGCCCAACTCATGCAGAGCCCTGGACACTCTGGGGATGGCCACTTACCAGGGCATTCCCCACGACTGAGAAGACTACCTCCTGGGCTTAAAGGCAAATAACAGCAGTAGTAACAAGAAGCGTTTAGCTATGGTGACATTGACCACCTGTGCTGGGGACGTGCCCCTTCACTGGGCTCCACTGTGTCTGTCAGACCTGAAGGAAATGTCAGTATTGAGCTTGCCGACGAGGGAGCTGTCATGGGAGATGGGGAGGTTTGCCAGAGGAGGCTCAGTGAGATGCCAGGAGAGGGGCGGAGCAGGCCACTCCACACTGCGGTTCTCACCAGAGTGCCCGGTGCTGGACCCAGGGGCTCGGCCCGGCCCAGCCCTCTGGACTTTTATTTGGAGACAGGGTCTTGCTGAGCTGCCCAGGTTCCTCAGCCTCCTGGATTGCCCCCAGTGCAGGTGACATCCCATCCACCTGGTGAGAAGTGGTCTGCTGGCTGCTCCCGGGGGCCAGACATCAGGCAGAGGCACAGTCGTCCAACTGTGTCCTTGGACTGACCGGCCCTCAAGTCTTCCATCCTCTTGATGGGGAGGGCAAGGACAATGAGGCCTTCCCTCCAAGGCGGATGTGATAGTCAAGCTTGTGCAAGATGTGACGCTGAGCACCTACTGTGTGCAGGCCCTGTCCTCCCACTGGGGCCACCTGGGAAAGGAGAGGGAGTACCTCTCCTCGGGCAGCTTGCTGTGCCCTTCCTGGCATCTCCACACTTGCCTCAGGAAACAGGAACTCCTGAGTGATGGACATGTTGTCCTGCACAGGGTGGAGAAGGTCAAGGGCCAGCGGGCCTGAGGATGCCACACAGCCTCATGGCTCCATGAGGCCCTCGGCCCCTTGGCTGTGGGAGAGGGTGTGCATCCTCTCTGGGCCCCATGGCCCAGCACATGCCCGTCCTTGACTACGAGGCAGATGGAGCCAGCTCTCGGTACTGCCCCACTGCCCAGCACGGGGAAGGTTGAGCCAACGTCTGTGGACTGAAGGAAAGAGCCGCAGCCTAGAAACCTGAAATTTTGCATTGTTCTTCCCCCTCTGGTCTTTCTTTGCACTCATTCATTTCCCAATTTGCTCCGCTTGTGCTAATTCAGAGAGTTTCCTGAGGGGCTGTGGCTGGGGCTCAGTGGTAGACGATGGTTCAGCACGGGGTGGGGGGCTGGGTTCTATCCTCAGCAACACATGTAAATAAATAAGATAAAGGTCCATCGACAACTAAAAAAAATTTAAAATTAAATTAAAAAAAAAAAGTTTCTTGAATTTCCTGAATAGACGCCCCCTGGGTGGGGTGGGAGTCACTGAAGGAAATCGCAGACAGCCACGGAGGAGCTCCAGTGCGTTGCTGGGGATGCTCCGAGTGATGGTTAATCACAGTCATTACTTAATCCATGAGAAAAGCCCTCATGACCAGCCACGGGCCTCTCTAGCTCACTCTCATGTACAAAAGGGCTCCTCAGAGGACACGGCGCAACTCGATAATGAGGCAACTTCCACGTCCTCTGTCCTCAGCACCAGGCTCCCTCTGCCCGGAGGATGTTCCCTTCACATTCCACGAGTCTCCACCCGTAATCCCCCATGTCGGTGCCAATTAGCATCGTGGCTGCAAGCTGATCAGGATGTGGAATGAGCAAACCCGCAGCAGCGAGAACTGAAACCCCACAGTGCACAGTGCCAGCAGGGACCCAGTGTCCGAGAACCCATGCTCAAACCCAGGGCTTCACACTGGCCCCATCTGGGCGTGCCCAGTACCAACAAAAACCTGAGTCTTCCTACTCCACTGTCCCTGCCAGCAATAATTTGAAGAACAAAACCTATTGTTAAAATAAGATCCTTTGCCAAAGAAAAGAGGGGCTGTAAACTGCACAGGAGACAACTCCCCATTCCCTGGTCACATTCAGGATGCAGCCGTTGTGGGTGGCTGTCCCATGATACTGAAAGGGGGCTGCAGCCCCAGTGCCGTGCAGGCTGCAGATCCCGTGCAGGCTGCAGGGGGTGTGGCCCAAGAGGAGCCACACACCACCTCCTTGCCAGCATAGCGCCCAAGCTCAGGGCCTACAATGCCCTTGACCTTGCAGGCTGGCACCTCCAGAAGCCTTTGCCATTGAGAATGCAGAGGGCTGGAGCAGGGGCCCAGCTCTGCCCACGAGGTCCTGCCCCACTGCCAGGGTGGTACCTGGCTTGCACAGCCTCATGGGTGAGAGGAAGAGCCTCTGGTGGGATCAGTCTTCGTGGGGCCAGGGAAACAGCTGTTTTGTGCCACTGCTGGGCCCAGACAATTCTAGTCTCAAAAAGGACCAAAACCTCCAGGTCAGTGCTGGCTGCCCTCCATGGTTGGAGGGAGGCCACTGGGTCTAGCAGAGCCAAGTGAGCCCTTCTGAAGAGCACCGTAGTCACCACCTGGTGACACTCTGGACCAAATCCACGACACACCACCTGCGTGTGGCTCTGTCCCTCAGGGAGAAGTCCAGCCAGTCCTAGAGCCCCGAAGAGTGATGCAAATCTCAAAAGAGCTTCCTCAACCAACTAACAACGTCGCAAGTTACCTGGGCCACTCGGAGCAGAACGGGACATGGGACAGTTGCCTGGATGATCCAAGCAATCTCAGTGTTCCTCCTTGCGGACGTGGTTGGTCTAAACACCAGAGGGAGAAGGCAATAGAAGTCACATCCTTCCTCGTTCCACTCCTGGAAACACCCCCAGGAGGGAAGCAGGATGTGTGCCTGGGCTTGGGCGGTTATGGTGGCCTCAGGACAGGCTGCGGCTGGGTCTGAACCAAGGGGGGACCTGGGAGAGCTTTGTCTGGGAGTTATAGTTTATGACCCACTAATTCCAGAGCAAGCCCCGGGAGCCCCTGTGGCCCAGTCGACTTACTCCTCCCCTTCTCCCTTCTCCTGGCTCTTCCCAAAGCCATGACAGGCTCTGGAGTGGGACTCCAGGAGTGGGACACCGCATGCCAGTGTCCCTTCTGGGTCACCCCCCCCTTCAGCTCCAGTTCAGGATTCAGAAACACTGCCTGGCACGTGTGTAATGATGGTCCCGTGGGCATGGCAGCCACCTGACTCATACCCAGGAAGGTGCACGTGGCCTGCCTCACTCAGTGAATGCCACCTGAGCCAGGCACGGTTGCCACTCCCTGTTAGGAGGGCCTCTGGGGAACCACCTGGGCCTGCAGGAGAGCCAGCACATGGACCCTGCATACGGAAGGCACAGAGCCTGTTGACCAAGGAGGCTGTGGTGACGGAGGGACGGGATCAGAACCCAGGCAGGGGACACTTTGAACTAGACTGCGTGAAAATTAGTGACTAAAAATGACCTGGACATCTGTGCCTTCTGCCCAAGGCATCCTTAAGAGACAGGAGGAGCTGCTTCAGCAGGTCGGAGAATTACAAAGCATCTGCATTTGTCCCCACTGAGGGGAGAGTCCCCGGGAGTGAGTGCCAAACAGAGGGACACCCACACCAGAGCCACACCAGGCAGCCCCCCATAATGTGCCTGCATGAGCATACGTGGCTGCTGATGGAAGTCCACAGCTCTCATCAGAGTCTCAAAGGTACACCTGCTCCCAGAGAGGCGGAGAGGTGTTTATCTGTGTTAGTGTTGAGACTTAACCAGTTAATGCTACTGGTTTATTTCTACAGGAACAGCCCAATTCCTTGGAAAGTTCCTGACTTCAGGGGAACCTTGTGTCCGCGCCCCCTGGTGGCTTCTGGGAGAACTGCAGGCGCCTCCCTCCCAGGAGGCCCGGAGTCCAGCCAGGTCACTGGCCGCAGGGGCAGCTGGCTTGCTGAAGGACAGGCTTCTTTAATTGGTAACTATGCAATCATGTTAACATGCATTAGGAGGAGGTAATAAATAAGAGGACTTCAATGCACTGTCGTCTAGCTATGGCAATTACAGAACAGGTGGCCGTGGCAAAAGCAAAGGCAAGAGAATAAAAAATGACCACATTCAGGAGCACGATCTGACCCGCCCCCTTGTTCTCTGATGAGGGTTAGAATGAGAGGATCTGACCAGAGGAGCCATTGGACTTGGAGGTCAGGGCTGGGGCCCAGGAAAGGGTCAGCCAGGGCAGCCTTGCAGTCCTCCTGGGGAACCACACAGGAGAGGCCACTGAGATGGGGACTCAGGAGAAGGGCTGAATGGGGAGAGGGCAACACACGTGGACAAGGCATGGATAAAGCGACAGATACTTTTGTGGGTGAAAAGACAAACTCAGAAAAGGCCAGGGAGGTGTCCCGAGGGAGATTGAGGCGTGGGCAGGCACTGGGGACAAGCGGAGGGCAGAGCTGTGACACTGAGGGCACCCGACACCTGGAGGTGTCTGAGACCACCCGGATGGTGCAATGTCCCACGTCATGACCTAATACAGTCATAAATGCAGGATACCAGCTTTATTTTGGTTGATCCCGTTCTATGAGGAGCAAAGCCAAGACTGTAGCAAAAGCCTCACACTCTGTCCACCCTGCATGCCAGGCTGCTGTGGCTCAGATGGGAGGTGTCCCCAGAACACCTGTGAGAGACAGTGCAAGAAGGCTTAAAGGGAAAGTGATCAGCCTAATCAGTGCGTTGGTCCCTGACAGGAACCACTGGGTGGCGTGAGGCAGGTGGGTGTGGCTGGAAGAGGTGCGTCCCTGGGGCTCCTAGAGTATATTTCTTGACCCCACTAAGAGAACGGTCTCAGCTTCCTGGTGCCATATGCCCAGCTGCTGTCCTCTGCCATGCCCACCCACCATGATGTTCTGCCTCATCTTGGGCCCAGGGCCATGGAATCGGCCATCTACGGACTGAGACTTCTGAAATCATGAATGACTAATAAACTTGTCCTCCTTTAAACCTGTTCTTGTCAGGTCTTTTGGCCACAGCAGCCAAACGCTGACTGAAACACAGGCTGAAGGGACAAGCCTCTGCCAAATGCCCGGGAGAGGTGGCCTGGGGGCCGATCACCCACTACTGGGCCTGCCCAAGCCCTGGGCCTGGCCGCCTCACCCTTCCATCCAGACATGGACGTGGGTGGTTAGGGGAGACCTCCGGTACTTGTGGCCATCAATACACAGAGGTACCTAGCCCCCAGAATCGCCATGACAACTAAGTGACAACTCCTGCCTGTCTACAGGCGAAGGGACACACCAACCGAAGGCCATCCACACAATGAAACTCTATCAGCCTTCAGAAGGAAGGACGTCTGACACCTGCTGCAACATGGTGGACCTCAGGGACGTCATGCCAAGGGACAGATGCCAGTCACTAAGGACACACACTGTGACCGCACCTCCGGGAGGCACCCAGAGTCTCAGAGGCACAGAAGGAACAGTGACGTCTGCAGGCAGGGAGTGGGGGTGCTGTTAGAGGGGGCAGAGTTTCAGTTCTGTGAGACAAAACGTCCTGGAGATGGACAGTGGTGACAGGAGTGTCCTTGGCACCACTGCTCTGTGCACCAGACGGTGGGTGACTACAGGTGGGCTGTATGTTGTGCACATTTTATTGCAACAGAAATTAAACTAGTTACCGAGAGCACTCAGTAACTGTTACGCACGTGTTTGTTAAACAGATAGAGACAATACACGGGCTGTGCAGACTTGGGTGGGAATGAGAAAGAGCTCAGGATAAAGGAAGAACTATGGAGAAGGTCAGGCTGGAAGAGTCCCCGTGACCAGGCGGAGGACCCGGGGGAGCAAGCCCAGCCTCAGCCTGCGGAGAATGGGACTGGAGTGGAGCTTGCCCCTAAGAGGCCACCTCACAATTCCTCGGGGCCCCCACGGACAGGACAGGACCTACAGTGCCCCACCGTGCACGCCACTCCGGGATGCCAACCCCGGGGAAGGAGGGCCTTGCAGTCCTGCCAGGCTTCAAGGAGGCACCAAGAAGAACCGCACAGCCAGTGCCCTGTGCTCAGCAGGGATAGGTTGGCCTTGTGCTCGTGAGGGCAGCTGTAAGAGGAAACAGAGCAGGATTGCTGGGTCCACGCATATGCCCAAGTAGGAGCAGACCCCAAGTCGGTCCATGCCATTGACGAGACACCTGCCCGGCTCAGGCCTCACCACGGAAGGGTTAGGCAGACAGTGGCCCTCCCGCCTTTTAAACATGCCAGTAGCGGGGACCCACCCCCAGAAGTCTGGCTTAGCTCATCTGTGGCAGAGCCTGGACAGCAATAGCTTTAAAACCCTTTGGCGGTTCCAGCATACAGCCAGGTTGAGGCCCACTGGGTTGAAGGTCAGTGCCCTCCATGTCCCTCCTCCTCAGCAGGTCCCACATCTGCAGCTCAACCAACTATGGATCCAGAACAGTCCCTGAAGAGTTGCATGGGTGCTGAACATCACAGGCTGGGTTGCCTGTCGATATTCCCTTAACAGGGTGTTCCCATTGTGTTAGGTGTGGAAAGTCCCTAGAGGTGGTCTAGGACCCCGGGGGATGTGCACAGGCTCGTGCAAACACTGCACCATCTGATGAGGGACCTGAACGTCTGTGGATGGGAGCCCCAGGATGTTGGAAACACCAGCCCACAAACTCAGACAACAACTATAGTGCCAATACCAGGGAGCCTGGGGGTCAGCAGCAAATCTGCTCAGGAGCCAGAGATAAGCTCAGGACTGTGGGGCCACCCATGAAACTCACAGGATGCTTAGGAGACCCCACTGCCTGGACAGCCCCACCACCACCACCTTCTTGGACCCTTGGCTCCCAGTGCAAGCCAGTACCTCGCTGCCCCAGGCCCTAGTTGAGGCTCTCTCCTGTCAATCAAACAGCAGAAAGGGCTTCTTTCTCCAGCAGCATGACCCCCAGGACATCTCCCTCTGGAAAGACCCACCTGCCCCAACAAGGGACACCTCCCAGAAAAAAGCAACTGGGAGGTCTCCACGGCCAATCCCCTCCCAGCCCAAGAGAAGATGAGGGGGTGTGGTGGTGACCACCAAGTACTCACTGCTGAGCAGCAACCTGCAGGATGGCCTGGGCCTGCACCGCCAGGTGGCCCAGGAAGCTGTGCAGAGCCGGCTGCCTCGAGGGGAGCCCCAGCTGCAGCCCGCCTGACTCTCGCTCCAGGTCTTCTAACCTCTGTTTCAGCACCTCAGCTGGGACCCCAAAGCAGAAGAGAGAAGAAAGACCATGAGACTCAAGGCGGATAAGCCAGGACCTCTCCCCACAGCCCCAGCCCTCCCTTGCCAGAGTGAATCAGGGGAAGGGGCTGGTTTCCAGGCCACGACCCCCCAGGGGAGCTTCTGAGAATCGACACTCTAGCCGCAGTGGGGCCGCCACCTCACATCAACTGGGAAACAAGCCAGTGCCCGAGATTTGATTTTAAGATTGTTTCCTCCAACACGCACATCCAGGTAGAGCCCGTGACACCTCCCGAGGCCACGGAGGCAGAGTTCACCTCCCCACGCTGGCCGCACAGCCACATCTGCCATAAAGTGGGGGTCCTGTGATGGGTCCCCTGCCCCCAAACAAGGGATGAATATGGAGTCACTGCAGAAGCTGGGCTCCCCTCCCACGGGGACTCGCCTCGTGAGCAGATTCCTAAAGAACTAGAAAGCTTCCCGGGAAGCTCTGTGGCAGAGGTCTCAGGACACCATTCCTCAGGCTTCTGTCCTGGTGGCCCTTGCCAGGCAGGTACACCCTGGCCACAAACCTCTCCCCCGGAGGTCTTGGGTGGGGGACAAGGTCCCAGGGAGCCACCTCTAGCCCGAGCACACTCTGCCCCCCCTGAATGCCTGCACAGCCCCAGGGCCCAAAGGCCATTTGCCAACAGGGCCACTCCCACGGATCTTGTCCTAAATTAAAAGTTTCAACAAGCTTGTCACTTTGAACAATGCCTTTCCTCAGTCACAGGCAGTAAACACTAGCCACAGGGCACCTCTGGACTTGACTCTTCTCCCACGCCAGCTCTCTCCCAGGGCACACCCTGGATGAAGCAAAGGCAGTGAGCAGGTGTCCAGGCAGGTGCCCCGACTCGGTGCTGACCACTGACAACCCTTCCCACAAACTGCCAAGAGCACTGGAAGCAATGGCCAGAAGCTGCCTCGGGGAATTTAGCAAAGGTCATTCTCAGGGGTGTGGTGGCCACACCTGTAATCGAGGCCACTCGGGAAGCTGAGGCAAGAGGATGGCAGGTTCTAGGCCAGCCTCAGCAACTTAGCGAGGCCCTGTCTCAAAATAAAAATTTTAAAGTCTGGGGATGTAGGTCTGTGGTACAGCACCTGGGTTAGTCCCTGGTACCACCAAAAAAAAAAAAAAAAAAAGAATCATTCTAAGGACACTGGCCAGAGCCCCATCAGGATGGTCACCAGCAACGTCACAGCCTCACGGCTCCCAAAGTGCCTCTTAATCCTGCAGTCCACCAGCCATCAGCTACTGGGGCCAGCTTCACGTCTGGATGGCGCTAAGGGTGTGCTACCCGCTGGGTTTCCCAAGTTATACCCCTGGATCAGCTGTTCCAAGCAGAGGGAGTTCCTGGCCAGCACTAAGGCCCTGAGGTGCCACGCACTCCAAGTCTAAGGGACATTCTAGTGGGAAACCAAGGAGACAAGGAGAGAGGGTGTGGGATGGGCTTGGTTGTCAGAGCCACACGGACTTGTAAGGACTTTGGTGTTGACCCCAAGGAAGATAGGAGCCATCGAAGGGTTTTGAGTGGGAGAGTCCATGACCCAACTCATGGTCAGTAGGATCCCTGGTTGCTGTGCTGGAACACCTGTGAGAGGGCACACTGAGGTTCAGTGGAGGCCACCCGCCCGCTGCTCCTCAGCACACCACGTGAGTGCCTGTCCTTGAGCTGCAGGGTGGAGACGAATGACAGGGAGCAGCCTCCTACATCTATGAAGGAAGAAGCCTTCACATGCACTGGCGGCCTGCCGAGCAGGTTGGTCCCCGCTGCTCTGTGGGGTCACGGAACACGCGGCATGAACTATCTGAGAGGCAGGACAGTCACTCTACGTTCTGAGGGCCTCCAGGGCTGACGTCTTCTCAAGCCACCATTCTCCAGTGTTTACGGAATGGCCAGGAAACGCACTTCCTTGAGAGCTGCTCTTCAACTCACATAGCCACACTCGCTATGTAGAGGACCAGTTTGCTGAGAGTCACGCTGTGATGAGATGCGACCCCACCATCCCAAGCACCCGCTGAGCCTGTCTGCTCTGGGTTCATTTCAGGTTCACTGCAGCCTCCAGGCACGATGACCACTGCTAGTGTCTGCCACGTGCCCAGGTTTACGTGCATGATCCCCAAGCTTCTCGATGACACACAGAGTGAGTCACCCATGTGGAGAGGGAAACACCGAAAGCTTAAGTGACCTGCCCAGGCCTTGAGGCCCACCTGCAGCGGAGGCAGGTGGGAGCCGGTCTTTTCTGGCGCCAACCTCTGGGTTTTTCTATTCCGCTTCACAGGAGCACCCCAAAGCTCACCTTCCCTATCATGCGCCTGTGACACAGGCGTCTTGTCTGCCTATTCACTTGCCTGGGCCCTGGAAGTGATGAGACCCACCTGGTGGGTGCTGAGCCTTATCCACCTGTCTTGCCAAGAGCGGGCCTAGTGCCAGCCACAGGATAGGCACTGAGGGCATGCTGGGTGAACAAGTGAACCAGCATCTCTGTTTCTGTAAACAGGGATGCCACCACCACCTGGGAGCTCTGTGGGTGCCTGGCACAGAGCCGCACGTCATCCATTTCACCTGCAAGGAGGCCCCACAAGGGAGACTGTGATTTCCACTTTGCAAATGAAAAACTGGGGCTTGCAGAAAGCTGAGGAAATTCTTCTAGGTGCGAAACACAACCGTGTGGATTCAGAAGCAAAGACAAGTCTGTCTGACACCAAAGTCCCATCCTCACCCCTGTTCTTCCCGTGGGTGGACGTCACCCAGGTTTCGTGTGGCCACTCAGCCAGTGTCTCAGGCCAATGCGGACTACACAGCAGCTCGTCCTCCACAATGCTGCCCCTCTCTAACGGGAGGTGCCCAGCAGCCACAGAGCACACATAGGGGTAGTCAGTAGCCCTCAGATGCCCACTCCTGGTAGGAGGCAGCAGGGGGTATTTTAATATTTCAAGATGGAAACAGGGTGCAAAACAACAGGCAGCACATCATCTGCACTTGACGACTACAGGGATGTTCAATGAGAAACAAACCTGAGAGGAAACAGGAGTGTCCACCATCAGCCATGTGATGGAGAGTGATTTCATCTCAATTTCTCTCTCACTGAATCAGCTGCGCAATCTTGAGCTGCTTTTATTTAGAAAGTTATTAACTTGCTGGTTCCTTATGCTAGTCTTTGATTTCTGCATAAAAGTGGAGATTTGGTTTCCTCAGATTCCTGATGCTAAGCTGCTTAGAGTAAGCCTGGCTTCTGTGGGTCACTCCGCCTTTCAGGGGACACCAAAGAGGATTTCTGGAAGCTCATCTTCTACGCGTGCGAGGTGTGGAGGGAAGGCTGGGAAATTGTTCTGACGTGGCATCAAAGGGAAGCAAGCCTCGGGAGGGATGGGAATGCGGGCAGATGAGCACTAATTTGACGGTGATGCTTGCCCACTCAGCACTTCGCTGACGGCCCTGTCCTTGGTATATACTCATTGATTTGCTCTGACAATATTTCAACAGAAGATGAGGTTTGAAGCATCTGTTCTCCCCCAGCAAAAATTTACCATGCAAAATAATTAAATTGTGAGTGATCACAAATTGCAAAAGTAGGGGGATTTCCAGTGCTCACCCTAGGTCCTAGGCACGTGGCAGGATAAGCAGCCTGTGTGCAGGGACGTGTGGGTGTGCACGCATGCTGTCAACACGCCCTGCAGACAATGCTAGGGCGGCAGCGCATGGGCATATCAGAAACCACATGCCCTGAGGGGGCAGCTTCCAGGAAGAGCCCAACTCTGCATCATTCCAGAACCTTCCTTGCCTTGACACTCCACCGGAGTCCAATGTCCCTTCACCGGAGTCCAGTGTCCCTCCACAAACACCAACCACCCGAGGTCCTAGGGAAGCCACTAACCCACCAACTGAAATTTGGTTACTTTTCAGTAAACTCTCATATTTTCAGGATTGTACATAAAAATCCGCCCTAGAGTTGTGTTTTCACAGTGGAAAAGTGGTCACTTGCATATGTGGTCCAGGTTCATGGCTCAGAATCAGGGGTGGAGGAATCTCCACTGGCACCTGTCCAGGGAAAGAGGGATGAGCTCATACACCTCTTCCTAAGTCCATGGAAGCCACCAGACCATCAGTGCTACAATTGCCACCACCTCATGGCTATCCCCACCATCATCACCACCAATAATCACCACTACTACCACCATCACTACCATCTCCTCCATAACCACCACCACCTCCATCACCACCACCTGTCACCACCACCATGAGCCCGCCCCCGTCCACCAGCACTCCCACCACCATCGATGCGCAACACCATTCCTGTGGCCCTTACTGATTACCAGGAGACAGAGTCACTCAACTCTCTGCTGTTTGTTAAGAGACCTGAGTCAAAAGCTCTTACTAAAGAAGGAGACATGTTCTTCACATCATTTCCAAGTTGTTATGATATAGAGAACTCGCAAGAATGGGCAAGAGAGGAAACTCCACTCCCGGTCAACAGAAGCCCAAAGGGACACATGGCACCATGCTGACAGCGTCCACAGTGGCCGTGACTCTGTCTGGTATATATTTGAACTGTCTAAAGACTAGATTCAGGGTTGGGAATATAACAGTAGTGTGAGGCGTGGAAAGCCCCACGTCTCACGAGGCTGCTTTACCTGTCGAGTCCGTCCCTGCCCTCCAGCTCAGCTGTACAGAATGTGCCGCTCACCTCCCTTCCTCACGACCCTTCAAGCCTGCATGACCTGAGAGTCCTCGTGACAGTGGTCACCAAGAGGGGACTTGCAGCTTAGCAGGGTTCCCACACCCACGGGATGGGGTTGGGGCTTAAGAACAGTCTGACACCTGCCTCCCACCAGACCCGAGACCTCTCCTGAATGGCTGTGTGGTCTTGAACTGTCAGAACCTCTCTCAGCCTCTGCTCCTCCACAACGAAATGGCCTCGCCTGGGGACATCCCTGGGCAAGAGGGCCCAATCCTAGGTCAGGGCTACCAGAT